ACTCTGTCTATAGCACCACCTGCTATTGTGGTGTGTTACCTGTTCAAAGGTTGCAGCTCCATGTTATCAATCTTTTTTTTTATTTTGCAAAAAGTTAAACTCTAAGGGCCAGCATGTTTGCAAAAGGTGATCATCTATGCAGCCCATATTTTACCCAGGCATATTGTGCTTTACAGAGACTGTTTTTACAAATTGAAAGTTTGTGATGAGTCTACATCAAGCAAATCTGTCATTGCCATTTTTCCAACAGCATGTGTTCATTTTGTGTCTCTGTGTCACATTTTGGTAATTCTCACAATAGTCTAACTTTTTCATAATGCTATTGCATACATGGAGTCCTGGTATGACGCTGTGGGTTAATGCGCCAGACTGCAAAGCCGTTTGAACTGTAGGGTTGGTGGTTCAACCTCACCAGCTGCTCCTCGGAAACCCTATACAGGGTCGCTATGGGTTGGAACCAACTCGATGGCACTTAACAACAACAAAACAAATCGCATACATAATAGACTACAGTATAGTGTAAACGTACAGGTTCTTGCTCTGGGAAACCCAAAAAGTTGTGTGACTCGCTTTGTTGTCATATTTGCTCTGTTACAGTGGTCTGGCACTGAACCACCACTGTCTCTGAGATGTTGTTGCTGTTAAGTGCCATTGAGTCAAATCCGACTCATAGCGACCCTCTATAGGGTTTTCGAGGAGAGACTGGTGGATTTGGACCACTGACCTTGTGGTTCATACCAACATTGTGGTTGAGTGTTTATCCTACAGCATCATGGATATATCTACATTAATCATAAATCACATCTTTATCATTCCTTGCAGCAATGAATTTCTCTTGAGGCCATTTTTTTATTGTCTGCTTTCACCCAAGCATGTATTATATCTCATGATGTTCTGTCAGCTTATTGCAACATTGATAGTCTTCTGTGATCACATTATTTGGGGAACTGCTGATCCATGAGGAAGGTTGAACTGCAGGCCCTTCAGTGAAGTAAGGTCCTATGAGCAGCATAATCAGCAAGTTTATAATGATGTTCTTGGATTGATGCCAATTGGGGCACAGCTAGATATGTACAAAATCCTCTAGGTAGACTGTTGGGTGAGAATTATCATATGAAAACTGTCGAATCTACCAGGACTCTGGTCCAGATTATACCAGCAGCAGCTTCCTCATAGAGTGGGACCATGGGGAACGATGCTGGGACATTTCCTCTGTTTGTATGGAAGGATTACATACTGAGGAGAGTCTTCATCTCTAGAGAACGTAGGAAAAAGAAGTACATTTTCTGGATAGTAATTACAGGTATTTACCGTAGTTATACAGTACTTACAGATATCACTCATCTGTCAGTTTGTTGTACTGTTGTAGCTTGTGTGTTGCTGTGATTCTGGAAGCTATGCCATGGATATTTTGAATGCCAAAAGGGTCACCCGTGGTGAACAGATATCAGATGAGCTTCCAGATGAAGACAGACTAGGAAGAGAGACAGACTACTTTTGAATATTTCGTAACTGAAAACCTTTTGAATAGAAGTGGAATACTGTCAGCACTAGATTATTGAATACTGAAACATGATGAAGAACACCAGAATATTGTCAGATATAGTGCCAGAAGATGAGCCCCTCAGGTTGAAAGGCACTGGGAAGAGCTGCCGCCTCAAAATAGAGTAGACAGTGATGACGCAAATGGAATAAAGCCCTCGGGACCTTCATTTGCTGATGGGGCACAACGCAAAATGAAGAGAAATAGCTTTAAACATCCATTAATAATCTGAACATGGACTGTATGAAGTGTGAATCTAGGAAAATAGAAAATTGTCAAAACTGAAATAGAACACACGAACATTAATGTCCTATGCATTAGTGAGCTGAAATGGACTGGTAATGACTATTTGAATCTGACAATCACATGGTTTACTATGCCAGGAATGACAAATTGAAGAGGAATAGCATCACATTCATCTTCAAAAAGAACATATCAAAATCTGTCATGAAGTACAATGCTGTCTGTAATAGGATAGGCTTACAAGGAAGACTACTTAATACCACTATTATTCAAATTTACACACCAACCACTAAAGCCAGTGATGATGAAATTGAAGAATTCTACCAACTCCTTCAGTCTGAAATTGATCAAACATGCAATTAAGATGTATTGATAATTACTGGTGATTGCTATACAAAGGTTGGGAATAAACTGGAAGGATCAGTGGTTGGAAAATATGACCTTGTTGATAAGAACAATGCTGGAGATGGCATTATAGAATTTTGCAAGACCAATGACTTGCTCATTGCAAATACCTTTTTTAAATAACATAAAAGACAGCTATACACATGGACCTCACCAGATGGAATACACAAAAATCAGATTGACTACATCTGTGGGAAGAGACAATGGAAAAACTCCATATC